CTAATTGATGAATATAAGAATCTCACTTCTATACAAGGTCAGCAGATTACTCTTTCTGAACAGTGAGACATCACTGAGATATCACTCTGACTATTCTCACTCATGAAATGAGAGAAGAGTATTCACTCATTATCTGTATAGAATAGCTAGATACTGGCTTTCTATCAAAGAAGTCAGTGATTCATTTTTCTTCTACTGAAATATATATAAGAGTTACTGTATTTCTCATATAATCTTCTTAGTATACTAATTATCATATCTGTGATATTCTCATAATAACTCTGTAGTCTATAAGCTCACTATTTAAGTAAGATAGTCAAGCTCACTTATACAGCTTCTTAAATAACTACTTCTATATAATATTATTAACTAATTACTGCTTCAGAGCTGTTATGTTACAATTTGAATCACTCAATCTGATTATAAGTTTGAATCAGTCAAGCTCTATTAACAGACTGATATAATCTTACACACTTATACTGAGACTGACCTGATCTCACTCTCTGAGAGAAACTTCACATTCTTCTCTAGAGTGTGTACATCTCTACTCTAACAGAAATCCGAGATTTCTGAATCTACTGCATACTTTGACATGAGCTCTTCAACTGCTCTGTCACTCACTGCTACAGCTTTTACACACCTACATCTATCATGAAGATAGAGAGATTAAAGTCAGAGATTCTTCAAGTTATAAGAAAAACACATTGTCTGAATTTCACAGCTTTATCTATATTCTTGAACAGAAATTCTGCCTTAATCTGAGCCAGTTTAATACTCACAAGATATAAGTAATATATATCATCAATCTTCTTGAAGACATCTCTGCAACTACTTGAGTTATCAAGAAGAGAGAGCTTAAGTGTATTAATACTGTCATGACTTGAGAAGAATTCAAAGACTTTCTACTGAATCAAATTGAAGATCACTGTAACTGCAGCTTCACAGCAGCACAGTAGTTCAACTCATTATATTAATAAGATGATGAGAATTCTTCTAATTTCAATATAAGATTTGAAGAATATTAAAAGAAATTAACTAATGATTTAAATCAATTAAAAACACAGTTTTATCTCACAAAGCGGACTTATAAGATGTGAAGAATAATATCACAGTATCAGAGTTTTTTAATTAATTACACTAAGCTTGTTAACTTGACTTTCTGAATCTATTTAAATAATTAATACTTTGAGAAAAAGATTAACAAGATCTCTTCTAAGTAATTAATACTAAGATCTAAACAGCACTGAGATGACTTCAGTGTAGAGAAAGTAAAGAAGAATTTCAGATATTTCAATTCTTCACTCACTGTGAAGAAATATTAAACAAGATTTAATAAAGATCTCTGTTATAACTGTGAAGCTAGTGATTACTATACTAGTGATTATAAGAAGCTGAAGAAGAGAAGAAATTAGGAAGATATCTTCTCAAAGTTAACTCCTCTTCTGATAAATATATCTGTGAAAGATAAAGAAGAGAAAGAAATGAAGAATTGATAATTCTTATATCTTCAAATCTATATTACAATTATAATGAATACTCTAAATTAGAAGATATCTGTGAGATGTCTACTTAAATTCAGAGTGAATATTAACTTCATATTCTATTTCTTTTCTTTGATAAAGAGTTAAAAGAAGATAGATCTGTCAGATCATGTGAAATTTACTGATGAAATAAAATATCATCATTTTAATAGAATTTAAGCAAAGTGTATGATTACAGACTTAGAAGAAATCTTTAAGAAGAGCAGTCTGCTTCTTCACACAGTTAATATCATAGATAAGAATGTTATTCTAGATCTTCTATAATTGAGAGAAAACAATTCTTTCATTGACTGAGTCACTCAGATATAATAGTACTGTCTCACTGATGAAGAGATAGTAATAGAGAAACTCAAAGAGTTTCATCAGAAGAATTGTAAGAAAAAGATAGAGTTAATATACTGTGTAGCAGGTGACTGAGACTTGAGAATAGATAAAGAAGTTATCACTCTCACTGCAAGATTAGTAGCAGTATTCATTATTAAAGATGAATAAATATAATATCTCTTTACAGATTATAAGAATGTCTTTTCAGAAAGAAAAGCAGTGAAGTTTTCTGACATCAAGATACAATATAGAATTCATCTTGAAGATGATACAATGATACTGTACAGATCTTTTTACAACTTGTATATAAAGAAATGTAATATTCTGCACAAATATCTTGAGAAAGTATAATCAAAGAACTGAATATGCTTATCAAACAGTTCAGCAGAGACACTTATACTCTTTATACTTAAGAAGAATGATAGACTATGTCTATGTATAGACTACGGAGATCTTAATAAGATGACAGCTAAGAATCACTATTTATTACTATTAATTAATGAGATAATTGATCAATTATCTGAAGCAAAGATGTTTTCAAAGATTGATATATAGAATATCTATTATAGAATCAGAGTTAATGAAGACAATGTTTAAAAAGCAGCTTTTTATACTAAGTACAGCAATTTTGAATATCTTGTTTTATCTTTTAATCTTTATAACACTTCAGCCATCTTTCAGATCTATATAAATAAGACACTGCAGAGTCTTGTCAATGTCTTCTGTATAGTATACTTAAATAACATTCTAATCTTCTCAAAAACAGAGAAAGAATATAATACTCATGTTCAAGAAGTGTTGAGTCACTTAAGACAGTATCAACTCTATATAAACATTGAAAAATACTTATTTTATATACAGAAGATTGATTTCTTAGATTATTTTATTAAGATAAATAGCATTTCAATGAATAGAAGTCAGGCCTCTATCATTGAGAACTGCTCAGTGCTGTGAATATACTGTGAGATACAGATGTTTCTAGAATTTATAAATTTCTACAGATAATTCATCTATACATATTCACAGATTACTGCTTCTCTTACAGATCTGTTAAAGAGAAGTGTGAAAGACAGGAAAATAGAACTGTTTACTCTCACTTAAGACACTATACAGGTATTTGCAGAATTGAAATAAGCTTTTACAGATATTACAATACTGAATCACTTTAACTCTGACTTACTTAGTTAGTGTGAGACTGATGTATCTGAGAATGAAATCTGTGAAATCTTTTCACAGTTAATATTGAAGATCTTTCAATGTTGAAAGAATCAGAGAATAGTAATCACTGAAGATACAGATAATAAAATATCTGTAAGAGAAGGCTTTTTTACAGAGTCTATAAGATACTGTGAATAAAGATCAGTGATCTTCTTCTTCAAGACATTATCACTTATACAGAGAAGATATGATACTTATAATTAAGAGATATTAGCAATTGTTAAATTCTTTAAGATCTGATAATATTATCTTCAGAATAGTAAGTACTCAGTGTAAGTTCTCACTGATTATATAAACCTGCATTACTTCTTAATAACAAAGAGCTTGATAAAATGTTAAGTCAGATAAGTGAAGCTACTTTCAGAGTATAATTTCTATATCTGATACTATTCAGATCAGCTTAACTCTGTCAATATATTATCTAGACAGTCTGATTATAATATCATTGATAAGAAGAAGAATTCTATAAAAGACTCTCTGTTATCACTGTAGAAGAAGCAGACTGCAGAAAGTTGAGATTCTCTGAAGCTTGAGAACAGAGCTAGTAAGACAGTTATATAACTCAGTATAGAAGATGAAAGAAAATCCAGGTCTCTGCAGAGAACTAATACTGAAGATTATGAGCTTCTCATGTTATATCTTATTATTATTGAATTAATAAAGAATAAAACAGTCTACAATCTTTCAACTTAACTACTTTTAAAATGTATTAATATATTATAGAAGAGAAACATCTTTACTACAGCTTGAATTCAGAAGTTGAGAAGAAGATTCAGTTTAAACTTGAAAGAGACAGACTCTGAGCAGGATGATATTACTAAGAAATCAAGTCACTGATAACTAGAAAAATGTAGACTTCTACTGCTGAATAATTCAGTCTTCATCTCTTATAGTAGAGCAGTATATCAGAAGTTATTAAGAATTCATTATAATAATTCTTATGCAGAGCACTTCAGATTAGAGAAGACTAAGAAGCTTCTAAAATATAAATATATTTAAGACAAGCTCTGAAAAGATGTCAAAGAGTATATTAAGACTTGTAATATCTGTTAAAGAATGAAGATTCTGCAGTATAAGTAATACAGTGAGTTAGTATCACTACCTGTCTCAAAGAGCTTATAACAGAATCTATCAATATGTGATTCAAAGATTGCTTAAAGTGTATGATTACAAGTGTACGCCGGCTTCTTATATACAGTACTCTAAATTAATTGATGGCCGCTATGACTCCTTTACATTTGTAAGCAAGTTCGGAAGCGGCCATGTTATTATCTGACGGTCGTGCGTTCTTCTGAACCACATCCTCCCCCATCAGATTCAGTCACACTCATGTAATCATGACATACACTCTAGCTTCATGCGGATTAGCACACTACTAGTGTTCATGATCATGTGATCTATCTCTGATTCAACTATCATTCTGCATATACTCTCACAAAGAAACTTTCACTATGTTATATCACTTATTCACTAACTTTTCTCATTCTTCAATCATCTTCTTCATCATTATTATTATCAAACATCATTATCTTCTTCAAGATTTCTGTCTCTTCTTCTGTTTAATATCTTTTATTCATTTATCTATTATATTATATGCATTTCTGACAATGACTTTCTGTTCTTATAATAAGTATGATTGTAGTAATCATATTAGACAGTTTGTTAGCAGTAAGTATAATATATTATAAAAGGTGATCAGAACTTATTTATCTTCTAATAATATACTATTATTATAGATAATATATCTTCTTTATCTTCTAATAATATACTATTATTATAGATAATATATCTTCTTTATCTTCTTATACATCTCTGACTCTCTTTTCTTCAGTAAGTATCTGATTATATTTTCTGATTATGTTTTCTGATTATTTTGCATGACTGCAGATACTGATATATTTGTTTTAATTCATATAGAATGTTCACATATTGACAGATCTGTATTCACTGATGATTGTGATCTCAATGTTGAATCATTGATTGAGAACTTGAGAGACATGATAATAAAGAAATTATTTATATTATATATAACTGAGTCTTCTGCATTTCTCTTTACTCTCTCTGTTTCTTTCTCTGTCACTCTCTCTCAATCTTCTACATCTGTCTCTGTGTCTGATTCTCTCACTCTTACTATCTCTGTTCTTATAATTCTCACTCTCATTACTTCTACTCTCTCTGCTTCTACTATCTCTGCTTTCATTATCAGCTCTCTCTGTTTCAAGAAGATATTGTATAGACTTAATGAATTATATTTCTCAGTGTATACACTTCTACTCTTCTTATCAATCTCTAAAATAATTTATTATATGAAGAATGTGTATGATATAACTATCTGAAACTCAGTCATAGATACTGATTATTATATTTATTTTAAGTATTCATGATGAGATAATTATTCATTTATACTGAAGAATCATCTCTCTTCTCAACAGTATTAAGATTGTAAGTCTTTTCTTTTTTCATTCTTTCTTTCTAACACTGATTTTTCTGTTGTTAGAAGAAATCATTATAAGTTTTATTATACACAAAGTCATAATATTCACAGATATTAAGACACTTTTTATCACTGTTAAAATTCAATATTACAGATATATTCATTCTGATAAATATCTTTGAAATGATTGATCTGTATCAGCCTATTCTCTGATATTTATTATCTGACTTCATGATGCAGATAAAGAATATTCATGTTTTCAGAAACAGAAATATGAATATTATACTCTTTTACATCTGCAAATGTGAGACTTGTACATCTTATCTGAGATATCATTATAGAAATGAGCTGTTTATATACTGTGTTCTGCTTTCTGTATTTCTCTATGTCTCTCTCTCTCTTTCTGAGAAGTCTCATATGTGTTGTAATTATGTATACAATTCTAAGATCAGTAGATATTTATTCAGTAATTATTATCTCTGTTTTTACAGTTTTATATACTAATAATAGTTCTTAGATGCTTCAGTATCAGAGATCATTTTAATTGAAGATGATAATACTGCTGAGACTACTCTTTCTTACTCTTAAGCTTCTTCTGTTGTTTTCTCTCTCTTCTCTATGAGAAAGATTGTATATATACTGAGTTATAAGTATTTAACTCTGAGTGACTCTTACTGTTATTCATTCAGTTCTGTGTCTTCTTCTTCTTTGATTTCTTCTATCTTCATTCTCTCTGCTCTGACTTCTGATTCTGTGAGTCTCACACTCTTCTTCAATTTTTCTACACACATGCATACATATTTCTATATTGACATTTCAGTCAATCTTGCAATAAATAATGTTAATGTCATATGCAGAGTGATAGAGAAATCAGAGATATATGCAGTGTTGTTGCAAGAGCAGCTTGCGGCTCTTGAATTTCTTACAGATCTTTAGTTTTGAGATTTCCTTTGTTTTTGATGTTGAAAATAGATTAAACATGTGACATATGAAAATGAATGAGATGTGAATGATAACATTTGTCTTTTTACAGTTGATTCTTATGATTGATAAGCAATTCATTATCTCTTTTCTTTTCTTACACTTTTTTCTTTGTCTGCTAGTCACTACTCTTACATAACCTTTATACAGTACAGTATTTAGTGACTAGATTCAGCAGCTTTCATCTTTTGTAATTCTGTCTTGTGTATTATACTGTCTCTCTTCACCTGCTCAGATCACTACAGTGAACAGTCTATTAAAACTAATCTTACTCAATCTCTGAGTGTCTTCAGAGATTGAGATGACTTGATTCTATATATTCATGAATGTTTCAGATGCTTCATTCTTTGTTATCTTCATAATTAAACTAATGTAAACAGTTAAATTCAACTCTGAATTTCTTTTTCTTCTGTGATCTGACTTATATGCAAGTCTGCTGCTCTGAGACTGCTCTTTACTGCATTACATCTGCTATCTACAGTGTGTTATTATATGATCAGCTACAGTCTTATTACTTATTGAAGTGTGATATTCATCTGAATTCTTTATTACTTCTCATTCTTTTCTTATAATTGTGAAAAGATCAGAATAAGTGAGATTATCTGATTTATAAGCATCTATGATTTCTCTTACTTCATGAGACTTTTCAATTATAAGTCTCTTCTTTTTTCAACACTGATAAGAGTACTGTGAATAATTATAATTCACTCAGATCTTGCATCTTCATCTTTATAAGATATAAATTATTTATCAAGTTGTGTAAGATCTGTCTCTCTGATTTATTCAATGTGTATATTTTCAGAGAATGTGATTTGAGTATTTTATAGAGCTTAAATCATCTAGATTGAAACTTCTCAGAACTCTCATTGTGTATGAGAACTCATATTTCTATCTTAAGACTCAATTTCTTAACTAGTGAGACTTATATTCTTTTTGATTGAATTGCTCAGTTCAGGAGTAACTTGTTAGCTTTTACATGTGTGTGACTGATCTCTTTCAATCTTGATTCTGCATCTGTGACTGCTGCATCTGCAACTATTACATCTACAACTATTGTTTCTGCTGCATCTGTAACTAATGTATCTATAACTGCTGTTTTCTCTCTCATCTTTTCTGAACCATTCTCTGAGATGCGCGGATGCAATCTATACAACAGGTAGAATGATGAACACTTGAAGACTGTATGCTGTCAAATCTGTGTGACTAACAGCATCTGTTCAAGATATTCATCTCATAGTCTTGTAGACTTACTCACTAGATATTTCATCAGCATATTACTCAAGATTTCATTTAAGTATTTCACTTTCTCATTTATTTATGAGTGATATGATATTCTTCTATGATATCTTATCTGTAACTGACTCATGCAATGCCTCACTGCTTCTTCTATGAGATTTATATTATTATCAGTTAGAATCTCACACAGTATTCTATAGTTAATATAGATCTTATTATGTAGAAACTTCATCATCATCTTCTCTATTGTCTCTGAAACTGCTTTTACAACTGGTCAGTCAGTAGTATAGTCAATAGCAGTGATTATTTAACAATTTTCATTTGATATTTACAGTAATATATCTATAAGATTCATCTCTCATCATTTAAACAGTTGTATTGTATATTTCATCTGATATTATACTTTCTCACATTCTAATTCTTTCTTAGATTCTTTCACAATCTGATAATTCAGGCACTTGTGAGTGTACATCTGAATATTCTCAGTTATACTTGATCAGTACACTCTTGATTTAAGTACACTTATAAGTTCAGAGCTTTTTAAGTGACTGAATTCCTTATACATGCAAGTCATCAAGTTGTGTCTAAATGAATATTCTAGATAGAAAGCTTCTTCATATTCTAGATTGTGATAAAGCATAACATCATTTTTCAATTTTCTCAGCTTGAAGTTCAGAAGCATCTCTTCTATCACTTTCACAAGATACTTATCATCTGATATCTTGTTATTCTTCAACTAAGAGATCATTTTGTTCACTTATTCTGATTTCTTATATTCTCTCAGTATATTTAATATGAACTTCTCTTATATCTGATTCACAGAATTCTCACTCATGAAATCAGGTCTGTGACTGATTACATCAGATATTACAGCATCTGATTTCTTTCAGTATTTGATATTAAGATTATACACTGAAAACTTCAAGATTTAACATACTAAGTGTTTGAAAGGTTTCATTGTTAATTATAGATAGATGAGACTTTTATAATCTGTGATCACTGTTATTGTATACTCATTGTTGATATATATATCTCACAATATCAGTGTGTGCTTAATCACTAGTAATTTCTTTTCATACACTAAGTAATTGAGCTCAGTACTCAATAGTTTTCTATCATTATACATTATCAGATGCAGCTTGCTGTTCTTACTTATTTACAGAAGAGTGTCTCTGTTAGCTCATTCAGATACATCTATCTCAATGTAGAAAGATTTATCATGATCTGATTGAATAAGCACTGAGAATGTTATCATATATTTTCTCAGTGTGAGAAAGACCTCTTCACATGCAGTATTTCAGATAATTGACTGAAACTTCTTCTTTCACAGATTAGTATTCATTTCTCTTAAGAGATCTGAAAGTGATGCATCTATTCATATGAAATCCTTGATAAATCTACAGTAGTATGAGACTAACTCAAGAAATTATCATATATTATGTATATTTCTCAGCCATGATCAATTCACTATGACATTCAATTTCTCTGAGATGAGATATATACAATCATCACTCATTATATATCTCACAAACTTCAACTCTTTCATTTCAAACACACACTTGATTGATTTAGCATAGAGCTTATACTCTGTCAGAGTTGTAAGCACTTCATTAAGATGCTTCAGATATTCATTATATAAGTTTAAGAAGACTAGAATGTTATTCAGATATACAAGATATAAGATTTTATTCTGTTTATAAAGAATTGTATTCATCATTATTTGAAAGATAACAGATACATTTATCATATTAAATAATATTAACAGAAATTCAAACTTTTTTCATTGTATATTAAACACAGTTCACAGTACTGATAGTTCATCTACACAGATCTGCTAATATTCTGAGAGAAGATTGATCTTTGATAGATATCAGATATTTCTAACTATATTCAACTGTTATTGAATCTGTGATAATGAGTATCTGTTCTTGATTATATGCTTATTGAGTGCTTGATAATTGATACACATCTGTCACTTCTCATCTGTCTTTTTTATAAATAGAACTGAGAAGCCTCACACACTTGATGAGAGTTGTATGAGATCATATTCAGAAAGTCTGTGATCTGACACTTCTGTTCTTCAAGATGTGTTTGTGACAGAGAGTATGTATTTTAATTGACTGATTTCATATCTCTTATATTAATCTCATGTACAAATTCTTGTTTCAGCAGCAATTCTGATGAAAGATCTGTTCAGAAGATCTTTTTATACTTCTTTAGAAGTTTCTTTATATACTTGTTCTGCTGTATATTCTTTATCTTAATTTTCTTCACTTCTGAGTTCTGTATAATATACAGAATGCTTTCAGATGAGGTCTTATAAATCATTCTCTTTACTTGTTAATGTGTAAGCAGATTTAATTCTTCTATATCAGAGATGTGAAATGTTCTTCTCATATCAGTTAATAGAATTGTATGAACTGTTTTCTTCTTATCAGTTAATTATATATAACATGTACATCATTGAATCTTCAGATTGAATCTTTGAAATCAATTGAGTTTAAGAATAAGATTGTATTTCATATTCTGCAGCTCTCATGCTCAGATATAGCAAGATAATTCTCTGAAGTGTAAGAGAACTCTTACTCTTACAGATGATACTAAATATCAGTTATCAGATAATCTTATGTATTGAGAATTCTTCACTCAGCAGATCTCTTTCAGTCTTCAGATTATATAATCATTAATATATTATATAGAAGCTTCTGTGTCTGCTAACACTTTTACAGTCATCTCTTAATTCTTATTCAAGTGCTCTCTATACATTAACATTTCAGATCTCAAGATATTAAGAT